CTCCATAAGGATCGATCGTGTACAGACCGGATCAAAACACTACGAATCATTGTGGAACAATCAATTGAATGGAATTCATCACTCCACATCAACTTCATTGACTACGAATAGGCATTTGATAGCGTGGGCAGAACAACACTATGGAAACTTCTTCGACACTACGGCGTGCCTCAGAAGATAGTCAATATCATACAGAACTCATATGATGGATTACACTGCAAAATTGTGCATGGAGGACAGTTGACAAAGTCGTTCGAAGTGAAGACCGGTGTCAGGCAAGGTTGCTTACTCTCACCCTTTCTCTTTCTCCTGGTGATCAACTGGATCATGAAGACGTCAACGTCTGAAGGGAAGCGCGGGATACAATGGACATCTAAGATGCAGTTGGATGATCTAGACTTCGCAGATGATCTGGCCCTTCTATCCCAAATGCAACAACAAATGCAGGAGAAGACGAACAGTGTGGCAGCAGCCTCAGCAGCAATAGGTCTCAATATACACAAAGGGAAAAGCAGGATTCTCCGATACAACACAGCATGCACCAATCCAATCACAATTGACGGAGAAGATTTAGAAGATGTAAAAACCTTTACGTATTTGGGCAGCATCATTGATGAACAGGGTGGATCTGATGCAGATGTGAATGAGCGGATCGGCAAAGCAAGAGCAGCATATTTACAACTGAGGAACATCTGGAACTCAAAGCAACTGTCAACCAACACCAAGGTCAGGATTTTCAATACAAATGTCAAGACAGTTCTACTGTATGGGGCAGAAACCTGGAGAACTACGAAAGCCATCATCCAGAAAATACAGGTGTTTATTAACAGTTATCTACGCAAAATACTTCAGATCCATTGGCCGGACACTATTAGCAACAACGTACCGTGTAAGAGAACAAACCAGATCCCAGCGGAGGAAGAAATCAGGAAGAAGCGCTGGAAGTGGATAGGACACACATTGAGGAAAGCACCCAACTGCGTCACAAGACAAGCCCTCACATGGAATCTTGGAGGTCAAAGGAAAAGAGGAAGACCAAAGAACACATTACGCCGGGAAATGGAGATAGACATGAGAAAAATGAACAAGAATTGGATGGAACTAGAAAAGAAGGCCCAGGACAGAGTGGGTTGGAGAATGCTGGTCAGCGGCCTATGCTCCGTTGGGAGTAACAGGCATAAGTATGTAAGTATGTAAGGATGAGTCGAAAGACGTGATCTCTAAAATCTAAACAGATTAGGTAAATTAACAATCGTCGGTTATCTACGATTAAGTCACAACTGCTTTCAGTAAACAAAATATCATATGTAAAAATAGTCTTTTCCCTTAATATATTGTCGAAACATTCATTTTAGATAATTATTACTATTCGTTTAGAAGTGTAACCATGTTCGATTTTATTGAACCATAATATACTGATTCTATTGTTAAATGACAGTAATTTTATGATTCTTTGTATAAAAAATATCATTTTAGATAGGTAAATAAATTCGGACCTAATTCTAAACAATTTTAATTTACTTTCAACTAGTGTTGATGTGTTCATCTATCCTCTTGTACTTACCCACTTTCACTACATATATATTCTAAACTCAATAATTTAGTTTATATTTTGTTGCATGCCACAAAATTAAAGTACAAACTCTTACTAATTTCTTCGCAATGATTGAACAGAACAGAGATTACTCAGAATCAATTTTTTTAGTAAACGTTTGAGTCAAGATTTACTTAGTTCGAATTTCTATGTACAAAACACTGGGAGATAGATACATTTGTGGAATATCGATGAGATAGTTTTAAGGATCTAATGTTCAATCAAAACCTAATATTTATGAGATGATCACTAATTTATTTCCTCTATAGGTAGAATATAGCGACTCACGTGCAAATGGGTTTATTCTCATTTAACTCAGTTAAGCCCTTTTGCTAACTTATTTAGCGGACAAAGCCATCCGCACTATAACAATTTATTGTACCCTTATTATTATTTTGTGCTTGTATGAAATACGCATGCTTGAATATTGCTTACGGCCTACGCATTTATGTCACTCTGCTAGTCTCACTACTAACCGCTTATTTGATTCGATTACTCATTAATTTCACATGCTATATATATGTCCACGTTATTTATATGGTTGACTCGGCTTTCTCGCTCGCTTGATTGTACTCGATTACTTACATTCACTCAGTCGCTCGCTTGCATGTTTGCCGTTCGACACAACTCTTAATGCTCGTTTAATGCCTCTGTAATTTTGGACATCTGTGTGTGTGGTCTCGAAATAAACGTAATCAACGCTTCGTATTCGCCTTCTGAATAATATACCGTTGGGGTTAAATAGGACGGTTATCAAGACGAATTGTATACGAAGTTTAAGGGATATATCGAATACCGACCACCACAGAATGTCTAACATTATATTAGTGTCTTCCATTTATGAAGTCCTCCTGTAGCTCTTCAAGGATTACTGACGTTCCCTAGCCTGGGTAAACGAGGTCAGTTGGGCATAAGGTCATGACGTAGAAAACAACCTTGCTAAAAAAAAGAACGCTAACTAGGATAAAAGAATTAAACCATTCAAACCTAATTGAACTCAAACATCAGAGAAATAAGTCGAAATTGTAAACGAATTCCCACTCTCCATCGTTTTGTTAAGGCATTTTCCAGTAGTGTCATATGTCCGTAAATTGAGTGGAATTAATACGTTTGCTGCTGCTGGTACTATGTGAAGCCTACATAGACTATCCTAGTTTCTGGACAGACCAATCTATTCATTCTTCTCGAGCCATATATTTTGACCTTGATAATTATTTGTTTATTAGCGTTGACTGTTTGGTATGATTGTTTGTGTGTGTACTGCCTACCCTATTCATTACGTGTCTGTAACCTATTTTTGACTGGCTATAAATATTGAGTCATGCTTGGTTAAATGAAGTTGGCTCGCTCGCCTTCTCTACTGTTTTGCCACTGCTTATTCTAAATCTCTGTCTCAATAAACAAATGCCTGAAATAAATTCCTCTAACGCCACCCGTGTTTGGCTTCTTCTTACCACCGTCACACAAACGATGTCAGCCTAGGTAATAGACTCAGTTAAATAGAAGATTTAGATTCATAGCATATCCATAAGTTCATTCAAATTAGATTCATATCCAGCCGGCACCAAGTTATTCATTTTTCCAGTTTAACTTTTCCAACAATCTAAAATTTAACATTTCTGCGTCATAAATAACTTACAAGTATTAGTAAAACCCATTTTTATGAGCGATTCTGTTATTTTTTGGGATATAGCTTCACTCTTCAAAGTATTTAAGTAAATTAATGCAGTTGATTGTAAATGTTTCTTGTGACTAGGCTCTGGTATATTTGAACAGCGGGATACTATTTAGGTGTAATACGTATAAAATACAAAAGATATATAAAAAGAAATCTGTCAAAAACAAAATCACTTTACATAAATTTCAATTTTGATAAATGATGAAATTGTAACAAATCACTTATTATTACGCACTGTCTATAAACTCTGTTTCTTGACTAAACGATGTGTATGGATTTTTTTGTTTTGCACTTAATAATGTAGACTTACGTATCACTGTTACGGTTATCACAAGTAAAATCTGGGTAATGATATTTTACTGGATTTATGCCGATATAAAAAGTACATTTGTAATCTGTAGTTTGTTCCTAAAAACATCCATTGCATAACCCATCAAACAAGTTCCTTTAATAGTTGAGGTAGTAACTCACTGATGAAAATAGTGGATGTTGAAGTTAGACATTAACACCGTTGGATACCGGCTCAGTGGCCTAATGGCTAAGGGCTCGCGCACGTAACTGATAGGTCCTGGGTTCGAATCTCGCGAGGTGGGATCGTGGATGAGCACTGCTGAGGAGTCTCACAGTAGGACGAGACGGCCGTCCAGTGCTTCCAGGTTTTGCATGGTTGTCTAGCTCCAATTGACTCATGATCTCAATTATTAAAATTACTATATTACTTACAAAACTCCTTCTGAAAGTAAATGTTCATCGAGCAGAGAATTTAAGAGACGACACTGCGTCACACTTGAATGTATGACCTGCTGAATAGTCTGAAGTAAAATACTTTCTCAATCGCACTAAAAATTTAAACTAGTGCCCATAACCTTTCATATGAGAAGTTTCAAGTCTAAAACATGTACTGAAATCAATACGGGAAGGTAGAGGATGAACCGAATTACACCATATCACTCGATGTATCTCTATTGACTATAGGTACTAAATAGTCCCCAATCAGAAAATCTGAACATTCATGTACCGCTTCATGGACCGATACTGTGCTTCAGTATGAACAAACTCGGCTTTCTTCCGAACAACTCCAACTCCAGCCTGCATTCCCTGTTAAGGTGTTGGTATGACATAGGTACGAAACATACTGTTGCGTAGCATACTATCATCTTAGTTTATAGACGGACATCTAGTCTGTGTCATCGGTAGTGTAGGTTAGTAAGAGAGGTTTCTGTATCTTTTTGCAGATTTAATCAAATACTAATATCCCGGAGCTAATGAATTCAAGCATTAGTGAATAGGTTAAGGATATTAGACTAGGCATTAAATAATAATATTAGCTTTGTATAGTAGAGTTTATTCCGATTATCATTGTCTCATATGAATATTCAGATACTTCAGAGTTTGAATAAATCCAAACCACTTTAGTTTATTGTCTATGTTACCTGGTTGAAGAAATACATGAGCTCATGCAACTAGTAAATAAAACATTTTCCCACCTCTGATTTAGTAGGTAAACTACTATTCTGTTAAATTTGTTCCTTTCAGTAACTTCATTGGTCAACTAAACCAACGTAACATTGAGATTTTAAAAGAATGAAAGAAAAGCAATAAGATCATATTTTTTAATGATTTGATGAGAAATATATTTTTGAAATGGCTAAACAAATGATCAAGAATTCCATAGTGCACATTGAATTCTAGTTATATGACAACATCCACTATTCTGGCGCGTAAAACTCAAACAAGATTGAATTCTTTTAAATTTGTTTGTAATATAGTATCCTTTACAGCTACGAAAACAACACGAATATTCTCTGTATCTGAAATTATGAAAAAATGTATACTTATATATGAACAATGAAATACTGAACGATTATTTATTTGATTTTACATTGCATATTTCAATTATGTGAAATGACGAATCTAATGACTTTCACAGTAAAATTACAGACTACATGATCTTTAAAAAGTGCTGAAAGCAAATATGGATATAGAAATCTAAGATTTTACCTTACATGGGTAGCTCAACCAATAATGGTTTATTCATTAAAAGTGATTTGATTAATGTAAATTTGGAAATGTAAGTCAAATTAGTGAGTGCATCTGTAATCTGAATAAAATTGTAAGTATTACTAATTAGATGTTGGAGTTCGCTTTGAACAACAACGGAAAGAACATTCATTTAGTTGCTAGTCTAATAATCTAGGTGTATTGTAATGACACAGTTTTGTAATATTCCACTGGAAATTTTGAAAATTACTTCGCAAAGTAAACACATGTAACTAAGAAATATAGTCTGCTTCAAGAGTAGATGATCACATTATTGTGTTTTTAGCTGAGTGATTCGATTCAATCGATTAACTATCTTATATATCCGAATCAGAACACTTTTGATTCGGGTGGTTTTATGATCTTATAGTATTTCATATCACTTCGAAATCTCATAGTGGAGTCAAATTCAAACCAATCAAAGTCACACTAATAACTGTCAAAAAACCATTTATTGTTGAGTAAGTCATATACTTACTTACTTACGCCTGTTACTCCTCGTGAAGGAGCATAGGCCGCTCACCAGCATTCTCCATCCAACCCTGTCCTGGGCAATCCTTTCTAGCTCCGTCCAGTTGTAATTCATCGTTTTCATATCTGCTTCTATTATCCGACGCAATGTGTTCTTTGGCCTTCCTCTTTTTCGCTTCCCTTCAGGATTCCAAGTTAGGGCTTGCCTCGTGATGCAGTTCGACGATTTGCGTAATGTATGTCCTATCCATTTCCATCGTCTTTTCCTAATTTCTTCTTCAGCTGGAAGTTGGTTTGTTCTCTCCCACAGAAGGCTATTGCTGATGGTATTCGGCCAATGGATGTTGAGTATCTTGCGTAGACAACTATTTATAAATACTTGTACCTTCTTGATTGTAGTTGTTGTAGTTCTCCAAGTTTCAGCTCCGTAGAGTAGAACTGCCTTGACGTTCGTATTGAAGATCCTCACTTTGATATTGGTTGAAAGTTGTTTTGAGTTCCATATGTTCTTCAATTGTAGGAAAGCGGCCCTTGCTTTGCCGATCCTCGCCTTTACGTCTGCATCGGATCCTCCTTGTTCATCGATGATGCTTCCCACGTATGTGAAGGACTCTACATCTTCCAGAGTTTCGCCATCAAGTGTGATTGGATTGCTGTTCTCCGCTTTGAATTTGAGGACCTTAGTTTTCCCTTTGTGTATGCTGAGGCCTACTGATGCAGAGACTGCTGCTACACTGGCTGTCTTTATCTGCATCTGTTCGTGTGTACGTGATAGGATGGCTAGGTCATCTGCGAAGTCCAAATCTTCTAATTGGTTCTGAGCTGTCCATTGTATTCCGTGTTTTCCTTCAGATGTTGAAGTCTTCATAATCCAGTCGACCACCAGAAGAAGGAGGAAAGGAGAGAGTAAACAGCCTTGTCTGACGCCGGTCCTTACTTGGAATGCATCTGTCAGCTGTCCTCCATGCACTACTTTGCACTGTAGTCCGTCGTATGAGCTCCAGGTAATGTTGACAATGTTCTCAGGAACTCCATAGTGTCGAAGAAGTTTCCATAATGTCTTCCTATCTACACTGTCGAATGCCTTTCCATAATCAATGAAGTTGATGTATAGTGATGAGTTCCACTCAACTGATTGTTCGACGATGGTCCGTAGTGTTGCAATTTGATCTGTGCACGACCGATCCTTACGGAATCCAGCTTGTTGATCTCGAAGTCGGGCGTCTACTGCATCCTTCATCCGGTTCAGCAACAATCTGTTGAAGACTTTCCCTGGTATTGACAGTAGTGTTATGCCTCTGTAGTTTTCACATTTGCTCAGATCTCCTTTCTTTGGAATCTTGACGAGGTGTCCTTCTTTCCAGTCCATCGGCACTTGTTCCTCCTCCCAAATCTTTTTGAATAGAAGATAAAGCATGCTTGTGGTTGCTTCGATGTCTGATTTCAGTGCTTCAGTTGGTATGTTGTCGGGTCCTGCTGCTTTCCCGTTCTTGATTTGTCTGACGGCCATTCTAATTTCTTCCGTAGTTGGTGGATTGATATCTGTAGGAAGATCTATGTGTGCTGCTTCGATGTTCGGTGGATTCATTGGAGCCGGCCTATTCAGGAGCTCTTCGAAGTATTCTACCCATCTGTTACGCTGTTGTTGAATTTCGGTGATTGTCTTGCCTTCTTTGTCTTTGACCGGCCTCTCTGGTTTACTGTATTTCCCTGATAGTTTCTTCGTTGTATCGTAAAGCTGTTTCATATTTCCTTCTCTAGCAGCTTTTTCTGCCGTCGTTGCTAGTTCTTCCACGTATTTCTTCTTGTCGGCTCTAATGCTCCTCTTCACTTGTTTGTTTGCTTCTATGTATTCAGCTTGTGCTTGGACTTTCTCTGCTCGTGTTCGGCTGTTGTTTATTGCTGCCTTCTTGTTCTTCCTTTCTTTGATCTTGTCCAATGTTTCTGTAGAGATCCATTCCTTATGATGGTATTTCTTTAGACCGAGAACCTCTTGACACGTTGAAGTTAATGCTTCCTTGATGCCTTTCCAGTTGTCCTCCATACTAGTTTCTTCTTCTTTCAGTAGATCTTGTAAGGCTTGGAACCTGTTGTTGAGAGCTATCTTGAATTCATTGAGTTTGACAGTATCTCGAAGGAAGGCTGTATTGAACCTTTGTATTGCTGTTTGTCCACTTGTCAAGTTCTTTTTTAGCTTCAGTTTCAAATTGGCTACAACTAGGTGGTGGTCTGAAGCTACGTCAGCACCTCTCCTGGTTCTCACATCTTCCATTGTCCTTCGGAATTTTTTGTTGATGCAAATATGATCTATTTGGTTCTCTGTAGTGTGGTCCGGTGAGATCCATGTAGCCTTGTGTATACGCTTGTGTGGAAATATTGTGCCTCCTATGACCAATTTGTTGAATGCACATAGATTTGCAAATCTTTCTCCATTTTCGTTTCTTTCTCCCAGTCCATGTCGTCCCATAATATCTTCATATCCAGTGTTGTCTATTCCGACTTTGGCATTTAGATCTCCCATCAGGATAGTTAGGTCCTTTCTTGGGCATTTCTCAGTGATTGACTGCAGCCGCTCGTAGAACTGACCTTTAATTTCGTCGTTGCTATCATTGGTGGGTGCATAACATTGGATAATATTCATTGTGATCCCCTCCTTCTTTGTTTTGAATGATGCTTTGATAATTCTGGATCCGTGAGATTCCCATCCTACAAGTGCATTTCGTGCTACTTTGGACAGCATAAGAGCGACTCACTGAGTGTGTGGAGCATTGTCCTCTTCGTGACCGGAGTATAGCAGCATCTCTCCCGTAGCTAGCCTTTTCTGTCCAGCTTGGATCCAGTGGGTTTCGCTGATTCCCAGTACTGCTAAGTTGTATCTCCTCATTTCCATTGCTATTTGACTTGTCTTCCCGGTCTCTCACATTGTTCGAACGTTCCATGTACCTATAAAAATTTTTGCTCTGGTTGTTAGAAGGGGCATCGGCCTCGTGGCTTCCGAAGGAACTCGGCTTTCACCATGAAGCGTCATAATTCTTCTAAATGAAGACCTTCTAACTCCCAGGGCAGAGTTAAAATGGTTTGGATTATTTTTTCTGGTAAGCGTTTTTTTAGCGAGTTAGTTTTCTACGGGATGGGGACGCTAACCCCATGCCCAACCTTCCTCCTTTACCCGGGCTTGGGACCGGCAGCAACCCTATAAGAGCTACAGGTGGAGTCATATACAGCACTATAATCTATTATACTGAATAGGATAGTTAAATGTTTCTATCCTAAAATTTTAACTTTACTAAGTACTACATCCTCAATTTGAACTAAAAGTGATTATCAAATAATAAGCAGCATATGGCTTAAAAAACTTTCTTACCTGTAGCACAAGTAAAATGTGAATAAATTGGTCGTCCTGAATTTAGATTCAATTCTTGATACATTTTTAGTATGAAATTGCGTGCAGCTATTGCGTCGTTTTTTGGACCTAAAAATAAATAAAGTACTCTATTTTCATCTTTAATTGATATTAAATTTTGCTTTGTTGTCAATGTATATTATTGAGCGGAATAGATTTGATCGAAAAAGTACAACTATGTGATGCGAATAATATGAATGATAAAATTGACAACGAATGTTGCTTTTCATAGTTTTACAAATCTAATTTGTATGTGTCATCCACAAACCTTACTATTGCCTTGTGTTTTCCTATTCAAAACGGCTGCTTTAAATTTGAAGTTACAAATCATTGACCAACTTTAGCATATAAAAGCGGTAACAACCAGAGCAAAAATTTTTATAGGTACATGGAACGTTCGAACAATGTGGGAAACCGGGAAGACCAGTCAAATATCAATGGAAATGAGGAGATACAACTTAGCAGTACTGGGAATCAGCGAAACCCACTGGATCCAAGCTGGACAGAAAAAGCTAGCTACGGGAGAGATGCTGCTATACTCCGGTCACGAAGAGGACAATGCTCCACACACTCAGTGAGTCGCTCTTATGCTGTCCAAAGTAGCACGAAATGCACTTGTAGGATGGGAATCTCACGGATCCAGAATTATCAAAGCATCATTCAAAACAAAGAAGGAGGGGATCACAATGAATATTATCCAATGTTATGCACCCACCAATGATAGCAACGACGAAATTAAAGGTCAGTTCTACGAGCGGCTGCAGTCAATCACTGAGAAATGCCCAAGAAAGGACCTAACTATCCTGATGGGAGATCTAAATGCCAAAGTCGGAATAGACAACACTGGATATGAAGATATTATGGGACGACATGGACTGGGAGAAAGAAACGAAAATGGAGAAAGATTTGCAAATCTATGTGCATTCAACAAATTGGTCATAGGAGGCACAATATTTCCACACAAGCGTATACACAAGGCTACATGGATCTCACCGGACCACACTACAGAGAACCAAATAGATCATATTTGCATCAACAAAAAATTCCGAAGGACAATGGAAGATGTGAGAACCAGGAGAGGTGCTGACGTAGCTTCAGACCACCACCTAGTTGTAGCCAATTTGAAACTGAAGCTAAAAAAGAACTTGACAAGTGGACAAACAGCAATACAAAGGTTCAATACAGCCTTCCTTCGAGATACTGTCAAACTCAATGAATTCAAGATAGCTCTCAACAACAGGTTCCAAGCCTTACAAGATCTACTGAAAGAAGAAGAAACTAGTATGGAGGACAACTGGAAAGGCATCAAGGAAGCATTAACTTCAACGTGTCAAGAGGTTCTCGGTCTAAAGAAATACCATCATAAGGAATGGATCTCTACAGAAACATTGGACAAGATCAAAGAAAGGAAGAACAAGAAGGCAGCAATAAACAACAGCCGAACACGAGCAGAGAAAGTCCAAGCACAAGCTGAATACATAGAAGCAAACAAACAAGTGAAGAGGAGCATTAGAGCCGACAAGAAGAAATACGTGGAAGAACTAGCAACGACGGCAGAAAAAGCTGCTAGAGAAGGAAATATGAAACAGCTTTACGATACAACGAAGAAACTATCAGGGAAATACAGTAAACCAGAGAGGCCGGTCAAAGACAAAGAAGGCAAGACAATCACCGAAATTCAACAACAGCGTAACAGATGGGTAGAATACTTCGAAGAGCTCCTGAATAGGCCGGCTCCAATGAATCCACCGAACATCGAAGCAGCACACATAGATCTTCCTACAGATATCAATCCACCAACTACGGAAGAAATTAGAATGGCCGTCAGACAAATCAAGAACGGGAAAGCAGCAGGACCCGACAACATACCAACTGAAGCACTGAAATCAGACATCGAAGCAACCACAAGCATGCTTTATCTTCTATTCAAAAAGATTTGGGAGGAGGAACAAGTGCCGATGGACTGGAAAGAAGGACACCTCGTCAAGATTCCAAAGAAAGGAGATCTGAGCAAATGTGAAAACTACAGAGGCATAACACTACTGTCAATACCAGGGAAAGTCTTCAACAGATTGTTGCTGAACCGGATGAAGGATGCAGTAGACGCCCGACTTCGAGATCAACAAGCTGGATTTCGTAAGGATCGGTCGTGCACAGATCAAATTGCAACACTACGGACCATCGTCGAACAATCAGTTGAGTGGAACTCATCACTATACATCAACTTCATTGATTATGAAAAGGCATTCGACAGTGTAGATAGGAAGACATTATGGAAACTTCTTCGACACTATGGAGTTCCTGAGAACATTGTCAACATTACCTGGAGCTCATACGACGGACTACAGTGCAAAGTAGTGCATGGAGGACAGCTGACAGATGCATTCCAAGTAAGGACCGGCGTCAGACAAGGCTGTTTACTCTCTCCTTTCCTCCTTCTTCTGGTGGTCGACTGGATTATGAAGACTTCAACATCTGAAGGAAAACACGGAATACAATGGACAGCTCAGAACCAATTAGAAGATTTGGACTTCGCAGATGACCTAGCCATCCTATCACGTACACACGAACAGATGCAGATAAAGACAGCCAGTGTAGCAGCAGTCTCTGCATCAGTAGGCCTCAGCATACACAAAGGGAAAACTAAGGTCCTCAAATTCAAAGCGGAGAACAGCAATCCAATCACACTTGATGGCGAAACTCTGGAAGATGTAGAGTCCTTCACATACGTGGGAAGCATCATCGATGAACAAGGAGGATCCGATGCAGACGTAAAGGCGAGGATCGGCAAAGCAAGGGCCGCTTTCCTACAATTGAAGAACATATGGAACTCAAAACAACTTTCAACCAATATCAAAGTGAGGATCTTCAATACGAACGTCAAGGCAGTTCTACTCTACGGAGCTGAAACTTGGAGAACTACAACAACTACAATCAAGAAGGTACAAGTATTTATAAATAGTTGTCTACGCAAGATACTCAACATCCATTGGCCGAATACCATCAGCAATAGCCTTCTGTGGGAGAGAACAAACCAACTTCCAGCTGAAGAAGAAATTAGGAAAAGACGATGGAAATGGATAGGACATACATTACGCAAATCGTCGAACTGCATCACGAGGCAAGCCCTAACTTGGAATCCTGAAGGGAAGCGAAAAAGAGGAAGGCCAAAGAACACATTGCGTCGGATAATAGAAGCAGATATGAAAACGATGAATTACAACTGGACGGAGCTAGAAAGGATTGCCCAGGACAGGGTTGGATGGAGAATGCTGGTGAGCGGCCTATGCTCCTTCACGAGGAGCAACAGGCGTAAGTAAGTAAGTAATATAGAACTGTTTTGTTCTAGTAGGAGTCTCCTTAGTACTATATATCATTGACTCCATGTAGGAATGCACCTAGGACAACCGCTTAAAATTCGGACCACTGAGTTGAGATCCAGAGATTTACGTTTTTACCTGAATAAATTTACGATTTCGTCGCCTCCTCAAAATGGGTAACATTCCATAGTCAAGGCTTCTCAGTAAAACTACGGGAATCACTCATCCAAGTTAATCACTAGTAAGCTCTTGGTGGTCTTCAGTTTGGATATTCTGAATCATTGTTTAAATGAACTCAGTTAGTAATGAAAAATTATAAATTCATTGTTTCGATCCCTGGTAGGGTCATAGAAAGGCACTACTGAGTCTCATTCTGGTACTAAAATGTCTGTCCATTGCTCCCTAGTTTTCAGTGGTCATTATACTAGAATCAGCCTGCTATTTCAAACCACAACTTTGATAGTCTTCGCAAACCTGTATAGTAGAAGTTCGATTTTAATTTTTTAAAATATTGTCTATTAGCAAAGTAATTAACTCAATACTGAAAGGTATCTTCAGTAGTATAAACACTATCAAGAAATATTGGTAAGATCATCAAAAAGGAACTGAACAGATTTTTTATCATAGTAGACATTAAGCTTGTAAATATACCATATAAGGAAAACAGGAATTTGCATATCATTTATTCATACCTGTAAATTTCGGGAAGTAATCAACCAAATGTGAATATTGTATCTTCTCTTCCAAAATATCCTTTTTATTCAAGAACAATATAATTGACAATGATTGAAAGCATTCGTAATTTATAATAGTTTTGAAAAGTAGAAGACTTTCTTCCATTCGATTCTTGAAATATCCGAGATAAAAATAAAATCCCCATTTGTTTATGTTAAGTATTCAACAAATCTTATAGCTAGTTTGTAGCAAATGATTGATAGTTTTATCAAATGTACCTTTAATATAGCTGCCTCAAATCTACATGCTTATATGTTTTTCAGTTATATAAGACAAATGACATGTTGGTTTCTTATTTTATTTTATTTATTTATTCAACGTAATCCTGTAGTGGCTTAGCTTCGTTAATCAATCACCTTGATAACCGTTATTATATAAATCCCAAGTGTTTGAATTCAGAAGGTAATAAGAAACGGCGACTACAGTTTATTAGCAGATAGCGCAGATAACAAAGCTATAATCACATCGAGCGAACTTGAGACAAAGAGGCGAATGTGCGTATGCGAGCAAAGGTAGAGGTAAATTTATAGTCAAATCAAATAAGGTGCAGCTAGGCAAGGCATATGCTAATAATAGGATTCGCGTACATATACACATAGGAAAGAGAATGATTCATCGAGCGATATTTAAGATAATAAAATTTAAGCTAGGGAGATATATGAGTAGGCTGTCACATGTGATCAAGTGTTCTCGTGCTAATGATCATAATAATACAAAGGAATATGAGAATTGTTACTATTCGAATAACATTGTTTGTTAAGTTAATAAAAGTGCTTAACGAAATTTAACTATAATCGAAATTGATTGTAGGAGAGTTGTTATGATCCGAAAACTACTTGGGATATACCACCATACGAACACATAATTAGGTTTATAGATAGTCTCGAATTAAAAAATAACATTTTTGTCACTCATCTATATCGATAAAAACACCATTGGAATTCGCGTTTTCTATCCCCAGTTTTTGGTACCTTCTGGAATAAATAAATCAGTCATGAGGGGAACACTGGTAATCATTTGGATAAAGACATGCGTAACTGATAAAAATGAAAGACGACAAGGTAAGTCTTTTGGATCTTAGTGGTATTTGACAATGAATAACAGTTACACAACCTTCAAAAACGATGTCCTATATAAAAATAACTCACATCTTAAGATTATCCAATGAAGGGAAAACAGAGTTTATCCCATAAATTACTATAAAATTAATAAAAATTCATATTTTCTGAAGAACCTTCAGTACAATTATATGATTATCACTAATTATTTGTAAGGAAATTCTAAATTGAATGTTTGACACATTTAATTTAGACCAGTATAGTTGTATAAGATTATAAAATGTAAAATGCAAGTTCATTTTCAAAATTAGTATCTTGAAATGACAATATACATACTAAATACAAATACAAGAATGAATGTTAAGAAATTCCAATATTTTATAATAGCTTTTCTCCATTCCACCTTTTTTACCCCTATAGGGTTCCTGTCGGTCTCAAGCCCAGATGAAGGAGAAGGGTTGAACAGGGGTCGGTAACCTATTCCGTTAACAACAACCTTGCTAGAAAGACGCTAACCAGAAAAAAACAGTTTCGTAGTCACCATCCACATCATTGCTGATACATATTTTACTTATATAAAACGTAAGTGATCATTTAGAAAAAAAGGAAACAGTTAAATGCGATATTTTTCAACTGTGTTTTGGATATTTATAAACGAGAATATTAACTGAATGTTTTGTGTATAAACTTTAAAACAATTGTGAATGTTTCATCATGAACCGATTTATATATTTATTCATTTATTTAATCAAATGAACCGAAAATAATAAAACTTGTTCTAAAAATCACCAACTGAGAGAAAGAAGACCTTATTAAAAGACCACTGTTGTTCACTGAATGCATTTCATTTGTCAGTCAGTCAGTCAGTCAGCAACAACGTAGGACCAGGCACATATATGCATCGACCCAAGTTGCCATACCTCGTTAGCATAACAAGATGAACACCGGATTCATAGTAGTTAATTCAGTGGTGGTAATATATAAAGGGAAGATTTCACATAAGGATACATTACAGGTAGAAAGAATTAGTTGGTAGAAATAAAGATATGAAGCGATTTTAATCTCTTAGTTTAAGGGAAGACAAAGAGTGTATACACCGACGCCATTGTGATCGATTCTGAGCCATGTCACCAAGAGTCTCCAACCATTGGTTACGAAAGTCACGCGGACCCCAACCAAGTAGTCTGCATCTACCAACATGGCTAAGACTAGAAGTTAGTGACTTCAAGCACTGATGCCACGTTTTGGTTTGGCCGCCCCTAACTTTCTTCCAACCATCCTCAACACTAGTCAGCATTGTGCGAAGTGGTAATCGGTGTTTAGGTATGCGTAATACGTGGCCCGACCATCTCAGTCGATAAAGACTCACAACCTCACCAACTGATTTACCACGTGAATCACAATGGACGATATTTTTTGACAAAAGTACCGTTTTCATTTTAAAATAATCAGGGGCTATTAGAAAATGAATATTGAAGTGGTTAAAAGCTGTTTTCTTGTTCTCTACAATAATCAGTTTACCCTTTAACAAATACATAATAAAATGGGTGAAATCATCATTTTATTCTGCCTGTATTATACAGAATATGTTGAAACAGATTTAATTAAGGAATTTTAAACTAGAAATAAAAGCATTACAGTTCTTTTTATATGCATTAGTTTTTAATTGAACATCAGTTTGTGAGAAAAATTTATCTCCAAATTATACAAAACATCCCCACAAAAACCATTTTCTAAAGTTACTGAATTGTTAATTTCCTACATTCAATTTGTACTAAATATTTGTTACTATATTACATCCGGTATAGTAATAACGATGCACAAGATAATTACGATATTGTATAGAGGCTAACAAGCAGTTCACTCACATGTACTCAATAAGGTTTGCTATTTATAAAAATTTATGGCAATAATAGCAATAAATTTTCATGTAAATTGTATATATATAATCTTTCTGTTAAAGACTTGGGAATGAGCAGGAGGATTTTAAATGTTGATTGAAGTAATCTAGTTCTTGCTTATTCTGAACACTTATCACGAATGGAGTGGTGTGTGAAATATAAACAATTTGGTACCATAAATTGTTTATAATTTGTATCTATTGATTTACTGAAATCATAGAGATGCATCACCCAAAATCATTATAGCTCTTAATGAGGAAAGGAGTCTCGAAAACCAAAAGTAGTGAAATGATGAAAAGGAAATCAGACAGCATGAAGATTATGTATAATTATGTAAATGATCATCTTTCATAACTTAGCAAGATAAACAGTGAATGTAGTTGGAAAACTATTAAAAGAGGGATATCTTGTAATCCATGCAAAGATTGATCTCTTTCAAAACACATACTTCAGACAATCAGAAGTTTGGATGAACAACTAGTTTACTCAGTGGTCTTGCTTGAACCTTACCATTGCAAAATTTGTCCTATCTTATTTACACATCTAATGCCATCCGAATCTAAAGTTTTTAACGGTCTAGAACGTGTTAATCATGCTTTGCTAATCCAGACAAACTTTTCCATAAACTGATATTCCATTTCAGAAAAAGACTGTTAGTCAAACGTAAACGTCTCTACCCATGTGATTACACCAGTTATTTAGAAGACCTTGAGGATGTGTGGATAAATGCCTAAATCTTCCTATGGTGCTTACATTGTGAAAAGATGTCTAAACATTATTTGATAAAACATAGAATAGGCTTACCTTGAATACTAGACTATGGTTGGTAAATATCATCTATCACTAACAGGCAATAAATAAAATTTTAACCATTGTGAAACAAAGATATTTCGATAATGCAATGAGAAGACGAAGATTATCAGAACTATGTGATATATTAGCGCAATACATTTCGAACAATCTGGTCACACATATACTTGTTAAGAGCATTTATATATAAAAATAAAAGGTCAACTACACAGTATATGTGTGACCAGATTGTTCGAAATGTATTGCGCTAATATATCACAGTTCTGATAATCTTCGTCTTCTCATTGTATTATCGAAATTTATCAAAGTGACTAATTGTTTTAAATTTCTTAAAACAAAGATATTTGTCTAAAATCTATGACTATTGCTTATTAGCTTAAAATATTGCTTGAGATAGTAGTATTTATTAACTATTTTGTTATCTTGCATCATCTATGAGAATGAAATATGAGCTTTTAGTTAGTATTTGAAAATACAACTTTCAAATGTTTTTAAAATGATAGATTCAACTTTCCTAACTTTTTAGCTCGTTATGATCAATAAATGAAAAGAAGCAATTATATTGTCTTTTCACTGTCATTTAGAAAAAAACAAATATTTTGGTGGGTAATGACATGTTATTAAAAAGTTGAGACAAGCATTGACAAGATCAATAAAATGAGATGATTTAAAGCTTGTGAAGTAAATACGGAAATCTCAATTCTGTACAAATTAAGCAATTATAACTTCAGAATTATATCATTCGGGTAAGAGAACACAGAATGAGAATCAGCCCGGAGTTATAAATATTTCCCAACAGTTTTAAGGATACATGATACACTACCAACTTATTGAAATGATTCAAAATTCATTTAATTTAACGCTTAATGAACTCGTCTCAACTTATATAAAGAAAATTTTCATGATGATATTTCCTTCTATGAGTTGATTGAATTATGAGCTGGAAACTATCGTTTTTAGTTATAAGTCAAAAAAATATAGACGCTTTTTACAGTTGCATTCTTTTGCTTGTTTATGGATAACACAATCAAACTGATTATCGATATAACTGATCGATGGAGTTGTTAAATTTTAATCTGATTGGTTGATATATAAAGCTTTTTATTGATTCTGTAAAACTTATCATATGCATCTACTGTTTGTTTCCCATATCGAAACAATACTGTTAATTTATTTATCAATTGCTTGTGTATCTAATTTACTGTACTTTTCACATGATACAGTAACATCGTATTCATACGATTAGATAAGAGTGAGGATAAAACTACAATTGTCTGCCTAAATATTTCCCTGAAGTTTATGCAAACACGAAAATTGCGTTATCAGCATTTAGAAGAAAAGA